TTTTTTTGGATGTGAGAAACATCTTTAGAATGAAATTCAGAAAATAACCAAACCGAGAAGAGCATTCAATTTTGATGAATGGCTATTATAAAAAAATTTGAGCAATTTATCATATGAGTAGCATATGAGTTAGCAAGTTGATGAGTTCAAAAGAGCCATGATAGAAGATCACATTTTCTATTCAAATATGTTGTCTAAAAACTTGGAGCTAAATTCAATTCTCCACTCAAATACTTCCAAAACGAGAATCTTCCATCAGCAGGTGCATACATGCTTAAACCACCAAACTATCTCTAATGTAAAACAGCATAACAAATTGGCAATTATCATGGATTTCTGCAGGTTCGGCTTCAGCAAACCCAAGCAAAACAACCAGCAGATTTCCAAAAACCCAGCTCCATCAAACCAAAGAACAAAAAATAAAAAACTATCAATGTCAAGGTTCAGCTGCAACACACCAAACCAAAGCAAACCCCGATAGTTTGAAGGTTAAGCAAATAAAAATGTTTCCAATAATAAAACAAAATCCCAAAAACTCTTCAGCAAACGTTCTTCCTGTTTTTTTTGGATGTGAGAAACATCTTTAGAATGAAATTCAGAAAATAACCAAACCGAGAAGAGCATTCAATTTTGATGAATGGCTATTATAAAAAAATTTGAGCAATTTATCATATGAGTAGCATATGAGTTAGCAAGTTGATGAGTTCAAAAGAGCCATGATAGAAGATCACATTTTCTATTCAAATATGTTGTCTAAAAACTTGGAGCTAAATTCAATTCCCCACTCAAATACTTCCAAAACGAGAATCTTCCATCAGCAGGTGCATACATGCTTATACCACCAAACTATCTCTAATGTAAAACAACCTTAAAGACGACACCATATGTTCTATAGAATGAAATTCAGATATGCTGCATAACAAATTGGCAAATATCATGTCTAGAATCTTCCATAACACAATTCCCCACTCAAATACTTCCATAACAAAATTTTCATGTCTAGAATGTTCAGCAAAATTTTCATGGATATCTGCATAACAAATTCAGATATGTTGCATAACAAACAGCAAACCCAACCATCACACTTCCATAACAAAATTTAAAGATGAACTTAAGAGAAATAATATTTCTTTTCAAATATGCTGTCTAAAAACTTGGAGCTAAATTCAATTCCCCACTCAAATACAAAGAATACTTTTGTACCCCAAACAAAAATCATCAAATTAAATTATGTTATGCAAAATAATGATTTTTTCATGTTCCACTGTATCTAAATTCAAAAAGTTTGCTATATACATTGTGAAAACAATTGCAAATCACCCAATATGAGCACCTCTGACACGAATAATCCAATTTAATAGAAATTTTGATGCAGTCAAATAAATTTCTGCAAGGGCGTCATATTTCAGGAACTAACTACTTATATTTGCAGTGTACACCCAACTACAGAACCCAACTACTTCACATTGTGTTTTCTACAGGCAAATAATAATATAAACTTCAGTACTACATCACTAATTCTGCATGATCATCCATTTTTTTTGAGATTTATCGACATAATCTTTTTAAATTAGCATTCCAGAATATAAGTTCATGTACCGTAATTTCATAAACTTTTTTTCAAGATGAAATGCTTGTTTGATATACCCCTTCATGCTCTTTCGAGTACACATCATTTCAATCTATAATCAGGTAAAGAAATAATTTTTAAGAAAGAAATGCTTAGGTTCATGCTATAGATGTCAATGAAGAGGGCTAAGAAAATATTTGTTTGTAAGGAAACAGAAAAACATCAGTTAAATGCAGCCTTTTAATTTGTCATGCCATCAAGATTCTTCGGTACATGAACTTATATTCGGCAAATAGAAGAAGAAAGAGGAAGTAAAGAAGAATGGCATTTAGCTACAGATCTTCGTATGCCATAAGATCGTAGTAATAAGAAGAAGCCATTTAGCTACAGATCCACCACACGAAAGATGGAGTAAAGAAGAATGGCAGAAACAGGAAAGAGGTGAGAAGGAGAAGACAATAGGAGCCGCAAAACGCACATGCTTCCTCAGATCGGCAAATAGAAGAAGAAAATGGCTCTTCTTACCTTAGGTCTGTCGGTCGAGGGACGACGAAAGAGAAGAAGGAGAAGGGGACGCGAGGGAAGCAGCGAGGAATGACCTTAGGGTAGACGCGGGGAAGCAACGGGAAATCACCAAGGGTAGACGCGGGGTAAAGGGTAAAAGTTTTGGACAAAAGCGGGAGACGCGATGGTAATGCCACTGCCCGCTTTCACTCCGCTTCCGCCGCCCAAATGCCCGAAGTCGCGAACCAAACAGGTGACTTTCGCGCGTGTAATAGTGTAATAACCGCGCCGCACCTAAAAAGCGCTCCCAAACAGACCCTTAGTGCCTTGCGTTGATTGCTAGGTCTAAGCTACGGACTCAGAATCCCTTTTGCTCTACCTGATAAACCTTTGACTCAATTGCAAATAAATACACAATAGACAAACTCATAAGCACTTCTTGTGAACGCCTTCATGCTTGACACCTAGAACTTGAACTCCGCCAATTTTATAAGCATGAGATAGATGTGAAGTGAAACGCAATAATTTCTTAGCACTAGCTTTCAAAGTCTGTTTTTAATAATAATGATATGCACATACATAACTTTACATTTATACATAGATATGTGTGTGTGTGTGTGTGTGTGTGTATACATACATACGTGCACGTATATCTACACATGTACTTTAAATGTGATATCAAAATTATTTTTTTTCTTATGACCGCTCTGATTATGCTGGATAATAATTGTGATTCTAAAGTGTACAAATTTTCAAATCCCACGGATATAGATATACAGGTTATTGATGATATCTCACATGTATTGGGAGATTTCAATTGGTGAAATACTTGCATAAAACTAATTTTTTTAAAAGGGCGTCTCTATAATATGTGGTTGTTAGTGTCTTTTTTACGTGCGTGATGAATGATTAAATCAAATATCAAAGTTGATGAACTTTGAGCCATATGTTGACTGACTTGTAGTTTTTCAGGCAATTTGCATGAGGTCATGGTTGAACTAGAGGGCATTGGTGGTTGTGGCAAGATCTATTTGGAGGTAATCTTTGTCTTTTATCAGTTTATTCTTCTTTATCCCAGCTAGGTGGCTAGAAAACAAAGGATGCCTTCAATTTTCATCCTCCGTGTGCCTATTTATGCATTTATGCCCCTATCTTTGAAGCTTTCTTGAACTAAAACCATCCTAATGCAAGTGTTGGGTTTGCGCATATTTATTTATTTGATTTAATATGATGATCTTATGATTTGCAAAACATGGCCATCTTACTCATTCATCAATGATAATTTAGATATTCTTTTGTAGTATCTAAATGGCTGTGAATAGGGTCTTCTGTTCATAAATAAACATAGGACCAGTATCTGATTGATATCCTGAGGTTTGAAGAATTGTAACATTGTATGTGAGCCAACCATATCTAAATCCAATGTTGTTGTTTAAGGTTTCCATTTTGATTTCATTGCGAAGAAAATAATATTGTTAACATGCTCTTTATGATGTTATTATTCTTTCGAGTAAAATTTAATTTGGTATTTTTTTTTATGTCTAACAGATCTTTATATTTCTTATCATATAGTATTTTTCTTTTAACAAGCTTCATGGGAAATCGAGTAGAAGGGAAAGATCTTTTGAATACTTGCAATATATTATTTTTCTTTTGTAATTAAAACTATAGCACTGTGTCAATATGAAGGGCTTATTTGCAACGCTGTTTAGTTGAAGAATGAAGTTTATTTGCAACTCCCAGTTGTTCTTTTATTTTATCTTAGTTACTCTATATTTTGTTTCTTATTTGGTTTGATAATTCTTATAGCACTCCTTTTGTTTTTTTCTTTTTCTCTTCAGACATGCAACTAGTGTTAACAGCATTGTGACTACTAAACTAATGATTTGTTAACTCAATATTATTTCACAGATCAAATATAAGAGCTATGATGAAATTTCTGAAGAAAAAGAGTGGTGGAGAATACCCTTTGTCTCTGATTTTCTTTTGAAGAGTAGTTTGGGCTCTGCACTTAGACTGGCTCTTGGATCCGAAAGCTTGAATGTTAGTCAATTTGTAGAGTCTGCTTTTGGACAGTTGAAGTCATTTAATTATAATTATGTGAAGCTTCTTCCCCCTCTTAGTAATGGCAAAAATGATGATTCTAACGAACCAAGAGAATTATCAAATGCCAGTAGTAGTTCAAATGAAGCCTCGAAGGAAGAGATGATTATGCAGAGCTCAGTGGCAGGACACAAGATTGAGAATATGAATGATTCAAATGGAAGAAATTATCTGATGGAGCGGAAAATAAATGACTCTCCGCAAGCTGAATATTTTTGGACAACCTTTAGTGATATTATCAACCAAAAAGTGTTCCTGAAGCTTGGTTTCAATCTTCCTGAGATCAAAAGTTGGGATGGATTTGATTTGCTGAACAAGATGGGCATACAACTGCGTAGATCAGCAGAAGAAAAGTATGCTGAGTATGGACTTGCAACTCCAGAAAATGGGCTTAAGAACAATGCTGAAACAGGCCAACGTTCCTCAAATCATGCCCCATCTTCTTCTAAAGATATCAGAAAAGCATCTTGGGATGTACTTAGTCAGACTGAAACAATTTTTGGAGCATTGGTAGTGCTTGCAAGGGCCCTTTCTAAACAAAAAGATGATTCAACGTTGCTGGATGTTCGAAGAAACAATAGAGATAGTTACAAGGATGGAGGGCCTTCAAATGAAGAAGGAAGTGATAGCTCCAGCAAAGGAATCACATTGGGTTCTAAAGGAGCAGAAGAGATGAGGGTACTATTTTCTAGTGCTGAGAGTGCTATGGAGGCTTGGGCTATGCTCGCCACTTCCTTGGGTCGTTCAAGCTTCATTAAATCTGAATTTGAGAAGATTTGTTTCCTTGACAATGCTTCTACAGACACTCAAGTTGCCATATGGCGTGATTCTCTAAGAAGAAGATTGGTTGTTGCTTTCAGAGGCACTGAACAAGCAAAGTGGAAGGATTTGCTAACTGATTTAATGTTTTTACCTGCTGAGCTGAACCCTGAGAGGTTAGGTGGGGACTTCAAGCAGGAAGCAGTGCAGGTTCATGGTGGATTTTTAAACGCTTATGACTCCGTACGAACCAGAATATTGATGCTTATCAAGCTTGCAATAGGTTACGACGAAGAAGATCATTTAGAGAGCATGCCAAAGTGGAATGTTTATGTTACCGGGCATAGTTTAGGCGGTGCGCTGGCAACACTTCTTACTCTTGAGATTTCAACAAGTCCAATGGCAAAGCATGGTGCGATTTCGGTTACAATGTATAATTTTGGTTCTCCAAGGGTTGGAAATAGAAGATTCGCCGATGTATACAATGAGAAGGTTAAAGATAGCTGGAGAGTTGTGAACCATAGGGATATTATTCCGACCGTTCCGCGGCTGATGGGCTACTGCCATGTGGCTCAACCTGTCTACCTTGCAGCTGGAGATTTAGAGAAGGCCATGCTGAATAGAGAATTTAGAGGAGATGGATATGAGGGAGATGTGATTGGAGAGGCTACACCAGATGCTCTTGTTAGTGAGTTTATGAAAGGTGAAAAGCAGCTGATTGAGAAGATACTGCAGACTGAGATAAATCTCCTTGAATCAATCAGAGATGGGACTGCTCTTATGCAGCATATGGAAGACTTCTATTACATCTCTCTTCTGGAGAGTGTAAGATCAAATTACACACTGACTGAAAATGCAAATTCCTTTGAAAAAGGCATTCAGTCTACTGCATGAAACTACATGATGTTTTAGTTTTATTGTTTCTAGCAGATCTGTGATTCATTGCTATGAAGTGAAGTAGCAGGATAACTTTTCTCTGATGTCTATCTGGTTTTTATGTATTTGAAGTTCTAAATTCATGCCGGAAACTTTAACTTATTTAAATTTAATTTATTTGGCATATTTTAAATCAGTTTTCCAATTATAAATATTTGACAATTTGATTTAAGCATATGTACTGCATTTATGATAAGTTTTATAAATGATTAGCTAGAAGCTATATAATTAAGTTAAAAATAAAATATAGATTATAATAAATTTAAAAGAATGTGCTCATCAAGGTTCATGTGACATCTTAAATGACTTTAGTACATTCAATTGATACAAAGACGTGTTTTCTTATGAAAGAAACTTTAAGTAAAATTATGCACTTACTCGTGATATAATGATCGAGTGTTCAATTTTTCACAAGTTTGAATCATGCATATTAACATTTACTTAACTATTCAATTTTTCACAAGTTTGAATCATGCATATTAACGTTTACTTAACTATTTAAATAAACTAAAACATTTAAGTATTATCACTATTCTCTACATCTTCTAGCCAATCACTGCAATTGGAGCAATCAAAACAACAAACAGTTGGTGGGCAAATCACTAGTCAGGAAAAACTGAAACTTTTAAATTTTAATACACTAGGAGGGCCCCTAACTCTTATCAATTCAAGCCGAACAATGAACAATTTCTGAAGAAAAAAATGAGAGATCGAGTAGAAGCAGTGGAAGGGAAACCAAAACCCTAGATGGCCATTGCTTCCATTCCCCCGATCTCCCTCTTGTCTGCAACTCTCCTGACTCTCCTCTTCCTCACCACAGCCTATTCCGCCGCCTCCATTTTCGACCTCATCTATAAGGGCTGCGCCAACCAGCAATTCTCCGGTGGGGGCGCCGCCTCATCCCAGCAAGCCCTATCCTCCCTCTCATCCACTCTCATGTCCCAATCCTCCACAGCCAGATTTTTTAGAACCACATCCTCCGATCAATCCATCTTCGCCCTTTTCCAATGCCGCGGTGACCTCTCCTCCGCCGATTGCTCATCCTGCGTTGCTAAAGCTGTTTCCTTGTGGAGCATCCTCTGCGGCGATACCGTCGCCGCGCGTGTCCAGCTTGCCGGATGTTACGCGCTCTACGAGATTGTTGGATTCCCGCCGGTATCCGGCACGCAGATGCTTTACAAGACGTGCGGATCGGGGAACGGAGGCGGTGAAGAGTTTGAGGAGAAGAGAGATACGGCGCTCTCAAGCCTGCGGAGTGGGGTTGCCGCCGGCGGTGGCTTCGACGCGACCACCTACCAGTCTGTTTACGCCATGGCGCAGTGCCAGGGAGATCTCTCCTCTGCCGATTGCAGCGAGTGCGTTGAGCAAGCAGTTCAGAAATCGCAAGTTGAATGCGGTGGTGCTAACTCCGGGCAAGTTTACCTCGATAAGTGCTATATTAGCTATAGTTACTACCCTAATGGAGCTCCCACTGATGGAGGCGGCCATGGTGGAGGTGGAGGTGGAGGAGGTTTGTTTTGGTGAACTTCTTGGTTTTCCTTACCTTTTACTTTTGAAGTTTCCTGCATATTTTCAGTGAATTTAAAAACAAATACATATATATGTAAGGGGTAAATATTACTTGCGGCAACCGCATGTCCCGACGATGGTCCGGATGGGCTTCCGTGCGATACACAGCAGCACGGCCCCATCTGGATAGGTCTGGATGGGCGGTCTGTCGCACCTAGTATTCTCTCATATGCAAGATCTTCAACTTAGAGTCTCTTGGTTGAAAGATTAGCTGTCAACTAACTGACGAAGATTGCTTGCATGAATAAGTAAGTTTAACCGCTTAATTCCAAGATATAAGAGTTTCAAAGTTGAGAGATTTAAAAACGGTTAAATCATAAATTAAAGGGTGATTTACATACCAATTAGTATGTATTAACATATCAACTATCTAAACTTTCATTTTTTTCTTACAAACCACCCAACCTATGCTGAAAATATAGGAATCAGGTGGTCTGTCTGTAAAAATTGAAATTTGGATGGTTGACGTGTTAATACATAGGAAGGAATTGAGTCTACGTATATAAGTTCCCTAAATTAAATGACATCGTGATTGTTAAATTTATATTTATATGACTTAAAAGATGTAACGATATTGTAATTGTGCTATTTTCTTCAATTTAATATACAATTTTCTAAATCAAAGTATTTTTCATTTAATATTTTTGAAAATGATTTAAATATGATATTTTGAGTTTTTTTCACAATGCTTTCTATATTGATCATACACTTCAACAAATGTTTGTGAAAACATCAAGAACACTAGATTGAAATGTCAATGACAACCAAAATTAGAAAAAATTTACTAAAGTCTCTTCTTATATTTATGAAATATTCAATCTCAAAGAGTTTAGAAATTATAGTATATAGATTTAATTAGTTTTGTTTTCTAACTCTTATTTCTAGTCATTTAACACAGGCAAAATGCCATAAATTGATTGTCATTTAAATCAAACGGTTCATCAAAAACATGATCAGTTCAGCGGTTCCCCGGTTAGACTATCAATTATGAACGATTTGGCCTTTATATGTGAAAATTGTTTTGGAACTTTGAACAAATTGGCCAAAGGTTCAAGGTATGATTTAGTCAAACCAGCCAGTACTCTTCGCAAGAACATTTTGCATCTGGCCTACAAAAACATGTCAAAAATGAGTTTATCTTATATTTTCATTAATAGATGTAGCTCATTCGTGCGCTACGTTATATCTATATTCCCAAATCAGGATCCATGTGTCATATAACCATGAGTTGGGGAAACTTACTTGTTTGGTAGAATCCTATGAATTTTTCCCATGGCTGTCTGTGAATTTCATTATATCAAACAAAACAAAAAAGAAGAAGATAAAATTGCATATTATCTGTATACATGAACTTTTGAATGGCCTTTAATGTTGTTTATGTTTTTGAATTAGGTCAGCATACAGGGAAGACAGTGGCCATTATAGTGGGAGGATTTGCAGCTCTGGGATTCCTGGTGATTTGTCTCCTGTTTGCCAGATCTCTAATGAAAAAGAAAGATGGTGAGCATTCATAAGTAAACTAACTTGATCTTTCAGAATGTTATTGACTTTTCAAATGTCCTGCTTGTTCTGCCAATACTGGAAAAGCCTTTCGTTTGGTTTTAATTTTTTTAGTGGGTGTTTGGCTGCACTGAAAATTTAAAGTAAATCCTATAAATACGGATTTATCAAATCATAAATCCTCAAAGATGTTTGGTATGATTTAAGTTAAATCTAGTAAATCCCTTCTTAATCTTTGGTGATCACCTCCTTCTCCTGTGCAATGAGAGAAATATGCCTCCTCAAATCTGTTAAGTCTGTTAAATCCACCCATTGGTCGGATTTAAAAAAATTGGGATTTACATTATGGAGGACAAAATAATGGATTTAGCTGAATTTTGGATTTAACTTGTTGTTTTTTGCGTTTGCAGATTTACCTTAAATCTTAACATAAATCTTCTTTAAAATGTGCTACCAAGCACCTCCTTAGAGTACTAGAAATCTTAGCTCATGTTCTTTTAGTTGTCAAATTTGTCAGTTGAAAACGTGTTTGAAGAGTTAATATGCATGTAATTGGCTAAAATTTTCTCTTTTTGTTTTCTTGGAGAGTTATGCCCGAAAGTTTTCTTAGGACAGAAGCACACCTAGTTGGAAATAACATTTCGTATTTACGAATTGCTTATTAGACTTATAATTCATTCGAATGTGATTTGCACTTTTTTTTAATCTAATTTGAAGTGGTTAGAATTTGATTTGAATTATTGTTTTGTTCGAAGCTCGGTATTAGGCAAGCTCAGAAACTTTGTTTTGAATCGAGGGAAGGTTTGTGGACCGGCGAGATAATGCGTGAGGGAGAATGAAATGACGTTGCTCGAGAAATTGGAAGCTAGGAGGGTTAGCCAAATGATCGATGTTATATAAGATGGAAAACATTACATGGGTTGATGACAAAATTCTTTAAGAAAAACTACGACTGGTTTGGTCGTGTGTGAAGGAGAACAGTATATATGGTTATGCTCTTTAGGGAAGACATTGATGGGACTAACAGTGTGTGAAGGAGGGTTTGCAATAGAACTCAATTGGAACCTTGATGTCATTTGATTTGCTTTAAAATTACTGCAATATTTAACTACAAAATAAAGCATATATATATATATATATATATATATATTACACCTATTTCAACATAGATTCTATTGTTTTTTTTACTCTTCATGAGCAAAAGTTTAATCAAAATATTCTAGGCAAACTTTTTCATTTGTAAAGCCCAACTAAGGTCCTTAATGCTCCATACACTAATAAATGACATCGATGTTGATGGTTGTATGTTGAATCCTACAGTTTATGCCTCTCATGACACCTTTGATCGCACCGCGCCGTCTGTACGGCAGTGTAGTACATTCTACGCTGTCAATCACACGTTCGATTTATCATACATAATATTTTCTCATTATGTGTGGCTTAATTTCGAGCCCCTTCCATCTAAAAGCTTCTAAAACTGCTCGGGAAATACTTCAGTTTGTATTTTTTTTTTTTCTTTTTGGCTTTCTCCAGATTTCTGAAGTTCTTGGTGTGAAGGTTTGAATGTCATTTGGGACAAAGCAAGTTATGTGCAATATTTCTCAAGCAATGTGTTGTCTACCATCAACAGAACTGGGAAGATAAAAGGAAATTATATTTGGTTCTCTGCAATTTGGACATGTAAGTGATTCTCTTTGCTTCTTATTTCTATTTTTAAAAGAAAAGATTTTGACTGCACTATATACATACATACAATATATATATATATATATATATATATATATATATATATATATATTGATGTAAATATTGTGAAATTAATAAAAGTAGTTGTATGTAAATCTATGGAAAAATGATGAGACTTTTTGTAAATAGAAAGTGATATCAAGTGATTTTTTTATTCAAATTATATGATTCTTGTTAGTTACAATGTTAATTGATTGTGAAATTTACATACATACCACACAATTCTTATGTATTTACATATTTAACACCCGAAATTTGATATTTATACTTCATCATTGTCATCGAAAGTTAATGATTTATGTTTTTAGATGTCAGTACATATAACCAAATGCTATAGAGTCATTTAGAGATGCCGACACATCAAAACAATTGCTAGAGAATTACAATTCTGAAAAATTCATAACTTTCATTTTAAAATTCGAATGAAATTCAACAAAAGTCAACATATGTTAGAGGGGCATTTACATACATATCACATAATTTTATGTATTTATATATTTACCATGTAAACTTTTATGTTTATATGCATAATGTTCAAATCTTTAATATCAAATATGCTATCATTTATTTTTGGGAAGTGAAAGACATTTTCTTTCATAGATATACGCACGTTTAAGTTATAGATATTTAAATATATTAAGAGTTGGGAGGTTGATACTAAGGAAACTCAAGCCAGCATGAAAATAATCATTATTATTATTATTGAGTTCAAAATGGTACCAATGAGACTCTTATGAACATGAAATAAACGACAATACAAAATACAAAGGGAAAGGAGAAGATGACAACGAAAATATAAAACAACACAAAATACTTAAACGACCAGCGGGGAATAGGCACTGGTGGCTAGACATCAACTGTGATAGGCGCGGGTGGCTGGACAATAGCAAGGACAGGCTCGGGCAGTTCTATAGGGGTCAGGCAGGGACAAGGCCAAAGGCCTGAGCAGCGGTGGGAATGAGGATGGAGGCCTGGACAACATCAAAGATGATGGTGGACCGAGCAACTGTTGGAAGGCGATTGGGGTGGATTGAACAATAGTTGGACAGTGCGGAAGGTACTGGACAATTGCGGTAAATAATCTGATGGTTGGGTGGTGGCTGGAAACGGGCTGCTAAAGGGTGGTACGAGGGAGCTATGGTGGCCTGAGGCAACAACAGACTGGTTGTGGGGTTTGGATGGCAGCAGGCACTGGTGTCCAAGGGGTTGGACAATAACGGGGATAGGCGTCGGTGGTTGGACATTAGCTATAACAGGTGTCAGTGGCTGGACAACAGCAGAGACATGCCTAGGAGGTCCTGTTGGCGGCAGGGGCTAGTCGCAGAGGGTTTGGAGGCAATAGTTTGGGTTGTAAATGAACCAATGCACTTGATGATCAACCCGAACTCGACTTGATCAAGACTCGATCATGTTCATTCAAATTAGTAATTAAACAAGCTTAAATAATTTTTAAATGCTCGAAGCTTCAATGAGTTAAATATGAAAATAGTCGAACTTATTCATTTATGTCCACAAGTAAACTCGTTTTTTGTTCAATAAGTAACTTGTTAAATACTCAATATTAAGCTAAAAGATAGCTTGTATCATATATTTATATTATTTAAATAAAATTTAAAAAGCTAGAATTTATATAATTATACATATAATAGTAAGATAGTATTGTATGAATAATATTATTGATATTCTTTTATTGATAATATGATTTAAGTAAATGATCATCCCTATAATTTATCAGTTACAAAATTTAAACTAGTGTAGCTTATCATTACGAATAATGCAACTAGTTAGTAAAGTTCAAAGATTTTAGAGTTTATAATCGATAATTAAGTAACTGCGATCAAATTTTTAAAATTATTTATTGAATTTCTTATCTCTGAATTGTGATATTCGTTTGAATTTTTAGATCGTTGAAATACTCGTTCAATTATCATAAACAAATGAAGTACAAAACAAGTTCAATTAATGAAAAATGTAAACAAGCCAAGCTTGAACAAATATCAAAGTTTAACACAAGCTCAAGTCGAATATGAGCAACGAGCAACTTATAATTATATGCAACTTATAATTATATCAAGCCAAGTCCGAACTATGATATACTCGGCTCGATTACAATCCTAGAAAAAGGGAAGAGGCCCAAGGAATGGGCAGCGACGGAAAGGATGATAGAGGCTTGGATGACAGTGGAGAAAATGGTTTGTGGTTATTGGAAGAGGTTGGAGGGGTTACGAAATGATAAATGTCACGTCAGGGTTGACTTACAACCAGAGCACCACCTCGAATCTTGGAAACGGTACACTACTTTGGACGAGTTATAGCCATAGCAACTTGTCGTCATCGAGTATAGCCTCCAAAAAGGAAGAACGCATCAAAGACATCACTCAAAATCTACATTCATCCAAATCTAAATCCTAAAGCACTCAACAACGCACATATATAATGAAAATTTGTAAATATAATGGTAATGCTTAGGAAATGAAAGAAATAGAAAATACAGGCATAGAGTAGGTAGGAAATAAAGTAGGAAAATCATAGAAAAGTAAGGGAAGAGGGAGGGAAATGAAAAAAAGAATGGGGAGAAGGGTTGGATTTTGGTACTGTAGCAGCTACTGTGCCGCGAACTATAGTTTCGCGACTCTAGGAAGCTCTCGCATCCGAGGTATGTAGGTAAATTTTTCTATTCAACAATCCTTCATAAAAAAACTCCGGACAAATCACGGATAAACAAGGAGAAATCACTATATCAAAAGAAAAAGTTACAAATTGAGAGTATTTAGCTCGCAATTGATCGAATTAAGGAACTTGGGTTATTTCTTGTACAATGAAAAAATATTTTTTTGTAGAATTCTACAGATCCTAATAAGAAAAATATTTTTTTATGAGTGATTGATAAAGAGCACATGAAATGCAATCTATAATATATTATAAAATTAATACAGTGATGAAAACCTTCAGTTCACAAGCTCATATTTTTCTATTAAAATGAGCTGGACCATAAAACTTTGGTCATAAATTTTCATAAGGTTTACACCTCTTAGTAAGTCCTTATATGCCCCATACATAATTTATATTTGGGGGCATTGGGCCAAAAAGAATGCATTAACAATCCTCCTTCGCTATTATTTCTGCTCCATGAAATCGGTTGTAAATATATTATATAATGTACTAAACAAGCATATTTTGAAAAAAAAAACAAAAATAAAATCCCTTCCCATAGAAGATAAGTGATTAAAAAAAAATCAAAATTAAAAAATAAAAAATGACCTCAAACAGTCCAAATTTTAGTGAAAAGCACACATGATTTACATTTTCATTGAATTTCATGTCATAAATAAAATTAATAAATATTAAAGCACTCCAATCGAATTTCTAATTGCATTGCATTAAATAATACACTTCATTATATGGATATGTCCATATAATTATGATATAAAACCTTTAAATCCTTTAATTTTCCACAAAACTAAACAAAAATTAAATCCATCTTTGACAAACCTACAGTAAAAGACAAATATTCTATTTATAAAAGTCAATGGCACATTATAAACTTCCCAAAGTGGTGTTAGATCAAGAAGGAAGAACACATCAATACAGCAATTGCTAACCCATAAATCATTAGAATGAGATCAATAATATTTTGATGAGGATGCATACAAACAATACTGAAGCCAAAAAAAAAAAAAAGGTGTTACAAAAACCCCCCTAGAAAACATATTGTAGCTCTACCAACAGGCAATGAGCCTATTCGTAGTGGAAGAATATCATATGATTATTGAAATATCTCAAGTTAGAGAGTCCTTCCATTCCAATGATAAAACTAGCTTCCTTGCATTCCCTTTTCATGACATGAAGCTCGCCGGAGATGACTGCCTTTCAGCATGTCATTGTCGAAAAGACCTGCTGCCGAAACGGCCTCTCGAGGCCTCCAAGTTGTAGCCTCCCCTTCCTCTGCCCCTCCCTAAGAGTTTAAATAATAAAAAAGGCAATCTAATCAAGAAACGTAATAAAAACCTTAATGGTAGCATAGACTTTTCATACCATATGCTAAAAGAATATTATGTAACTATTGGGGGAATTCAAATACATACCACACAATTCTCATCTATTTACACATTTAATACTCAACTTAGAAATTTATAGGAGCATTTAAAGATATTTCACAAAATTCTAATGCATTTACAAATCTAACACCTAAACTTTATTTTTTTACATTTATAACGCTCAAATCTTTCATATCACATCAAAAATACCACTTTGATTAACTTCTATACTTTCTCAATCTTATATAAAGTTGTATAAAGGTAAAAATCAAAATTAAGGTGTTAGATACGTAAATACAAAGGAATTGTGTGGTATGCAAGTAAATCTTCCATATAACATTCATATAACATAGGAATTGTGTGGTATAACAGGGCATGTTCACTTTAGAAAGATTAACATCAGTAGATTTTTTGTGTTGTTAAAGATTTAGGAGGTATCATATAAATAAACGGAAATTTACATACATAACACACAATTCTCATTTACTCATCTCACAGCCAAACTGGTTTTTACAAGCCAAGCATCTTTTCCTGTGTATGAAAAGATGTATGAAAAGTGGATTACATAATTTACTCAAGTAGGATGCTTTGGATGTAAAAATCAAAGTTTGGGTGTGAGATAAGTAAAAGCGTAAAAATTTGGTGCCATGCATGTAAATTCCCCAAAAATAACTTTTGAAGTTTATGTGTTAAACACGTAAATACATAAGGAATGAGTGGCATGTATGTCAATCCCCCTAACAAATATTAACAAGTTAAAAAACCGGTTTGATTGATTTCTGACAAGAAGTAGGGACATCCTGCTGTGATATTTGCATTTTTTCAAACTATAATCAGATTAATAAGCCAACAGTAAATCACAACCTTTTAGCACACAAAAGAAATGCAATCAGAAATCATAGTGGCAAAGGAAATTAACTAAAAAGCAAGATCTTGAAAATCAAGGACTCTCTAATCATCCTCTAACCGAGAATTCGATCTTCAATGCTATAACTATATTACTTGAGATATAAAACAAGTTGAAAAAGCAAACTTTAAATTTAGAAGAGAGCGAAGAAAGAAATTTTAAGAATTAAGAACACCTACTTCCTCCTCGTGACGCACCACTGTTTGGCCTCCTGCCCTCTACGTGGACCAGCCTCCCATTCAACTGCACTGGAGAAGCCTACAAAATAACAAGACAGCTTTTCTGAAGCTTTTTAACTGCAAGCAACAGTAAATAAACACAGCTGCAATATGTTGGTCAAATACTTGGGGGTCGTTTGGAATCAATTTAATATTTTATCTTTTTTTTTCTATTTTCTTTTTTCTTTATTTTTCAAAAGCATGTAACACTAAACAAAATTGATCCCAAACAAGCCCTTAGTATTTTCATTGATTTAGTTTTAGAGATGTTAATATATATATATAAACACGTGATCGGTGTCAGAGAGTAGATAATATTTCAAAAAGAAATGAAATGCCTCTAAATTTTAATTTACAAATTGAAAGGTAAGCATTGTGAGAAGAAAATTTCCAGGACAAATCCAGTTGAGTTTTATTAAAAGTGTCTCAGATAGAAAGCCCATCTGGACATTGAATTAACAGATAAATCTGCAAAGGATGACCTAAATATAATCCTGCTGCTATGTAATGTTAAGAAGTAGAGATGAGAACAATGAAACAAACCTTCAGCGCATTTTGAACACCAACAGCGTCTTCGAATTCTACAAATGCATAGTAAAATCCACCATCCTGCATATAAAAAATAAAAAAAAAGTAAATTAGCGATTTCTGAAACTAGAATATTAATGCATTATGGGTCAAAGCTGGTTAATTTACCTTACGGCTCCTGATAGTAACACCATCAAGCGTAATTCTACCAAACTTTCTGAACTCTTGCTCAAGGTCAGATGATGAAATATTTGGTGGAATGTTTCCCACATAAACAGATTTTGAATCACCTGCAGAAAGAAAGAAATCCAAGGTCAATACTCAGCAGATTAAGGCTTAATTTCGTTTGCTAATCTAGCTAATTGAACAATCTAGATAAGACTTTGGAGGATATGTTGCTGGAAGAAAGACTCCATAGGAGCCTACAACAGAGAGAATTATGTAGGTAGGTGGAAGCTTGTTGCAAGTTAGTGCTACGAAAAAGGTCTGCATGGAAAAATTAGGCGGAGGAAGTTCCAGCTGCCTGTAGGGAATAGTTTCCAACGTTGATGGCTGCACGGAAAAGCTTCGAAGGAGGCCTGCTACAGGAAAAAAAAAAACGGGCGAAGAGGCCTGCTACCGGAAAAAAAAAAACGGGCGAAGGGCTTGCAGCAGGAAAAGATCTTAAAAAGGCTTGCAACCACCTGCAACAAAAAAAAAAAGATCTGGACAGTTGTTCTATATGGCTATGATGGCGGCATTGGTCATTGTTTGACAAAAACAGAGGATTAATTGGAGTTTTCTACAACCCTTGGAGATTTCTGCCAATCCGACATCTGATATTGAACCCTCAGTCCCCTGTGGTAAAGGAAACACTCTAACCTCCCTGAACTTTTTACAAGTTGCAGCAACCATTTGAAGGGCCTTGTCACGCACCGAATCTAAAACCCAAAAAATTTGAAGATTGTGGCAACGGGTAATAACTAATTTGAGATGATTAGTTGTGATCAAGGATTGGGAAGCCATAAAGGTTGGCTTTAGAGAGGCCTGAAGTTACCTACTTCGAAGGAGGAGAAAAAGCAGGTGCCAAAATGAATGAGCTGCAGCAGCGCTCGGGCCAATAGCCGGAAGAAACAACAGACAAAAACGTGCTCTTTGGCTCTCAGTCTCCGAAAAGGAGACCAGCCACAAGAGCTTCAAGGTTCACATCACCAATGCAATTAAAAACCAGGGACTCAAGGCAAGTCATCCCTGGTGGAAAGCATGACACCCAATCCACCACTCCCTCATCATTCTCAACGACCTGTTCATCAGATCTAGAGATCAGAGACGCCTGCATCTCTTTGCTATGGCGGCGGGGCCGATTGTGGTGAATCCGTCGTAGCAAAAAGGTGACAAATCCTAGAAGGATGTTTCTAGGATCATGAGATCGACGTCAGCAATAGTCATTCGCTTGAGGCAGACTTGAGCGAGAGATAAGACAGAAACACAGTTGCAACGAACTTGATCCGAGTCTAGGCCTCATTGTGAAACCAATACTTACAGACGAGGTCAAGAAGCACAACACATTCTCGAGAATGCCATCGAGAACTTGATTGGAGAACGACGGCAGCTGGCTGGCGAGGGTAAAGGCTGGTCGAAACTTTGGTTGTGCAATTCCGAAAGAGGATTTAAGGACCAACGATCGAATTTAATGCCATTTCAGTCGCCATTATCCAGGAGTTCCTTGGAGGTTGCTATTTTCTGCAGATCTAAGTTTTGCTAGCCCAAGGCATCTGATTGTTGTTTACTGCAGAGACGAGGAAACACGGTTTGATGGGCCTGTAGGCTACGCTTGTAGGCTGTAGCAGCAGTTGATCAGTTGCCCAGGAAGAAATTCTCCTACGGGAACTTTTGTAGGTTGCTCCTGTAGGAGCGGCTATTCTATTGCCCGAGAAGTAGCTCTCCTAGGGGAACTTCTGCCAGCTGGTCATGCGGTTGCTGTTGCCAGGGAAGTATGTTTGCGTTGGGAACTTCCGCCGGATGCTGGAAGGGGCAATAATCCTACGGATGGTCTACAGGCTACAAGAGGGAGGTAGAGTGGTTCAGGAGGGCCTGCAGGTTGTCAGAAGTTTTCGATGGCAGGCGATCTTCTCTTCCGCTAGAGACTCTAGGGTTTGTTTCAAGGCTCCAATATCATGTAGGCTTTGAAAATAGAGTGAAATAATTTTATTAATATGAAAGGTGTATCAATACAGGTTACAAAAATTCTAAAATAGGAAAGACATGACACCCATATCTCTAATATTACAATTAATCAATTCCTAATAACCATCAGGAGATAAAAAAGGACATAAAATAGGAAATAACTGGAAAGAAAATAAATCAATACTAATAACTTCTAACATAAAATATGATATAACTAGAAAGAAAATAATCAATACTAATAACTTCTAAGACTTAACAATCTCTATGCTATTCAAAGCAAAAAAAAAATCATAAGCAAGAAATAAAATATCAATATGATTTAAATGCTCAGTGAAATAGGCATTTTGAGCATGAGCATGGCCTAAAGACTCCTGGCATCATATCAGCTCGATAAGCAGCATAAAAAGAACAGTAATCCATCAACAAGAAAAATACCAAAAATAATAAAAAATAATAAAAAAGGATCTATAAAGGCCAACCTTCGTCTTCAAAGGTAGAAACTTCATCCAACACCTCAGAGCTGGACTTTTCTGAAGCATTAGAGACAATGGGTTGAGCCTGCAGCTGAGTCGACGGTGATGCATGATGACGCTCTGACAAAACTGCACCTGTCTTGTTTATTGAAGATAAATGTGGTGCAGCATGAGGCCTTGAAGTTCGCAACTGTTGAATTTTAACTTCATTACATCATTTGAATATTTGATTGAAGATACAAAATTAAGATCTGATGCAAAGTGTACCAAAAAAAAAAATTATAGTAGAAATGCTTATACATACAATGGATGCATATGTGTGCTTTGGTGGCTCCCTAACAGGCTCCTCTACAGGAGCAGGTGGCTCCTGCATATCTTTTGGCGGCTCACTTGAAAATGAGCAAGTGGGCAGTTCTGCAGGGGTTTCATCAACTATTTCATCAGGATTTGGAGCCTCATTTGGTTCTTCAGGAACACAAAAATTGTTGAGTGTGTTATTTTCATCAGCAGAGAGTGGTGTAGAGTTATAATCTTCTGCAGGAATATCTTCTTCTAGCATGTAGCTGGACACTGCATTATAATATTCAAAACTAAAAACTACTGCTGAAAAAATAAATTGTGAAGAACAAATAAAACACATCTGCATATGCTTTTACAAAAAAAACTAGACTATTCCATAACAATCAACCAGGGGTAATATTGGACACCGAGAAAAAAATGCCAGAAATCTTATGAATCATGCTAGGATCCAAGGAATAGATAGAATGGTCGATTAAAAATACACAACGAGAACCATTTTTTCAACATAAAACATTTCAAGCTGATGTTACAAGTGTAAGATAAACGATGACATTCATGATGAAGAAACATGCAAAACAGCAACCAAATATATGGCTGATGCAGGATGGTTTAAGATTTATGTTTTCTGATGCAACTAAAATAATGTCATGAATGTATATCACATAAAGAAAATAAGAATTCATATATCAAAAACCATTAAATACATGAAAACTCGCTTTCTCTTAAGTGCAAACTAGAAAATATAAGAAGTAAAACAAACAATAATAAAATGATTTTTTGAAACTAAAAATTATCGAGAACATTAAACCATATAAAATCAAAAAGAAAATGGATACACATAAAATCAAACATAACCAAAATATTTTTACACTACAACTACAATTATAATTCCATCAAACAAATAACATCATGAACTCTAGCAAGTCGATCGCCAAAATATTTAGAAATAAGAAATAAAACAAAAGATTGATACCAAAAAAAAAAAAGACTTCCTCAAGAAATAAATAGTGTCACTTAGAACCAAACCCAAAAGAATGGCACGTTTAACAAACACAAAAAACATTGAAAAATTGGAATAAAAATTTTTATTCAAAAAAAAAAAAAGAATAATTACAAGCCTCGGAAAATTATTCATAAACTTCATATGGCTCTTAAGGTTTGAAAACAGATGATAGTATAACGGACAATAAAATAACAAAACCAACTAGAAATACAAAAACAAAACTTCACATACACAGCGATAATCCCAGAGAGGATAATCCAACCAAAAATTGTGATCGCACTGAAGATGGACAAGCAATAAATAAGGTTGTGACAGTCCCAAAGATGAAAGAACAACAAAGATGCATTACAACCACAGAAAAATAAGAGGATAATACTAAATAGCTAAAGCAACAAAGGGTCGGTTATAATCAAGGATGAATAAAGAAACCATATTGACTCTGCATTTTTGCATCAATTTGCTCAGCATGAGTTAAACAATGAACTTATTGACATTAAATCTGAATAAAAACTTTGTGCCAAACGCAAAGCAATATTCGAGTCATCCCAAGTAATTGTGTCACGTTAAAGCATGACAAATCTCTGGAACACACCATTAATAGTGAGCACAATCCTATTATTTAAAAAAACTTCAAAAAGAAGATATGTAGAATTATCTGGTGTTGTAAGTGAGCTGAAACAATGAACTTAGAGAATATCCAAGGCACTGGCAGCAGATTTATGAAATAGCAGTAAATCAAATACTTTAAAAAATTGGTTAAATGCCAATTTTTCCCTGATTTTATAATTTATAGACATTAGTTTCATTTCAATGCAATATTTAAATGATCATACCTTTCTCGCATTTAATTTCCTAAAGGCTTCTGAATGTAACTTTTTTGAATTAAGTACAGCATTACTTTACCATCAAGCTTAAACTTAATGCACTTAATATTAACATCAACAAAAAGCTTAAAATTGTCATAATCAATGGCTAATATTCTACGAATATCTTTATGATATTTAGGCATATCATGAATATTGTATGAGAGAAGTAACAAAAAATACTAAAGTAATAATGTGTCCTAAGAAAGACTAAGACTAACAAAAACCCATATATAATTCTAGGATAAAAATCTAAAGAACCTCAAAATAAAGACCATACAAATATAACAATGCTCATATAAGTGAATAATTTTTACAACAAAAAATTAAGCTTGATGGTTTAAATGTGAGAAATCATATCAATTAAGCATCTTTAGAATGGACTAAAAAGACGGAATTTTAGAATTTTAAATTTAATAATTTTTTGAAACATTCAATATTAATAAATTCCTAAAATGCTAATAAAACTTGGTGTGAATTAGAGATCATTTTTTATATTTTATTTTTATATTTATTTTTTTTTGTTTTTATTTTGTTTGTCTTGATATGAAACAAAAATTTATTTGGTAACCTAAATAGTAGATTATTTTAGTTTTAATTTTAATTCCTTTATCAGTATATCTGATGAATTGCAACAAACATCTTGATTGATTAATAGTTGCTAAAGCAAAAAACATAAATGAGCTGAAGCAGCGCTGGGGCCATTAGCCGGAAGAAACAACAGACAAAAACGTGCTCTTTGGCTCTCAGTCTCCGAAAAGGAGACCAGCCACAAGAGCTTCAAGGTTCACATCACAACCAATGCAATTAAAAACCAGAGACTCAAGGCAAGTCATCCCTGGTGGAAAGCATGATACCCAATCCACCACTCCCTCATCATTCTCAACGACTTGTTCATCAGATCTAGAGATCAGAGACGCCTGCATCTCTCTGCTATGGCGGCGGGGCCGATTGTGGTGAATCCGTCGGTGACAAATCCTAGAAGGATGTTGCTAGGATCATGAAATCGACATCAGCAATAGTCATTCGCTTGAGGCAGACTCAAGCGAGAGATAAGACAGAAACATAGTTGTAACGGGCTTGATCTGAGTCTAGGCCTCATTGCGAAACCAATACTTGCATATGAGGTCAAGAAGCACAACACATTCTCGAGAATGCCATCGAGAACTTGATCAGAGAACGGTGGCAGCTGGCCGGCGAGGGTAAAGACTGGCCGAAACTTTGGTTGTGCAATTCCGAAAGAGGATTTAAGGACCAACGATCGAATTTAATGCCATTTCAGTCGCCATTATCCAGGAGTTCCTTGGAGGTTGCTATTTTCTGCAGATCTAAGTTTTGCTAGCCCAAGGCCTTTGATTGTAGTTTATTGCAGAGACAAGGAAACATGATTTGATTGGTCTATAGGCTACGCCTATAGGCTATAGCAGCTGTTGATCAGTTGCCTAGGAAGAAATTCTCCTACGTAACTTTTGTAGGTTGCTCCTGTAGGAGCGGCTATTCTATTGCCCGAGAAGTAGCTCTCCTAGGGGAACTTCTGCCAGCTGGTCATGCGGTTGTTCTTCTATTGCCAGGGAAGTATGTTTGCTATGGGAACTTCCGCCGGATGCTGGAAGGGGCAATAATCCTACGGATGGTCTACAGGCTACAAGAGGGAGGTAGAGTGGTTCAGGAGGACCTGCAGGTTGTCGGAAGTTTTCGGTGGCAGGAGATCTTCTCTTCCGCTAGAAACTCTAGGGTTTGTTTCAAGGCTTCAATATCATGTAGCCTTTGAAAATAGAGTGAAATAATTTTATTAATATGAAAGGTGTATCAATACAGGTTACAAAAATTCTAAAATAGGAAAGACATGACACCCATATCTCTAATATTACAATTAATCAATTCCTAATAACCATCAGGAGATAAAAAAGGACATAAAATAGGAAATAACTGGAAAGAAAATAAATCAATACTAATAACTTCTAACATAAAATATGATATAACTAGAAAGAAAATAATCAATACTAATAACTTCTAAGACTTAACAATCTCTATGCTATTCAAAGCAAAAAAAAAATCATAAGCAAGAAATAAAATATCAATATGATTTAAATGCTCAGTGAAATAGGCATTTTGAGCATGAGCATGGCCTAAAGACTCCTGGCATCATATCAGCTCTATAAGCAGCATAAAAAAAACAGTAATCCATCAACAAAAAAAAAATACCAAAAAAAATAAAAAATAATAAAAAAGGACCTATAAAGGCTAACCTTCGTCTTCAAAAGTAGAAACTTCATCCAACACCACAGAGCTGGATTTTTCTGAAGCATTAGAGACAATGGGTTGAACCTGTAGCTGAGTCGCCGGTGATGCATGATGACGCTCTGACAAAACTGCAC